TGGTCATAAACAGGTGGAAGAAAACTCTCCAGGTAATTCGTGGTTTCGCTTAGAACGGAACTGAACATGTTTCCAACTCAGTGACCCAACATCCAACAAAAGCATTTGTGGTTATGAGGTTGTTGTCATGCGCCGTTGAAGTGGAACCACTCACAGCCGACCCTCCTGAAGCTTTTCAGATGCTGTAAATCACATGGGAGGAGATGGCTCATCTTTTCCTCTTAGTGCAGCTGGTGGACTTGAACTGCTTGCCTTTGCACTGGCAGTGCAACTCCTTACCACTAGGCCACCAGAGCTCCCTCGTGTAGGAGGCTTAAACTGTCAGCAGGCTGCACCAGGACTTTCTCTACCACCAAATCCTCTGCTGAAGAGTTGATTTTGACGCCGGAGACCACACAGCAGAGCAGACAGACTCCACTGGGCTTGTAAGGCTGTGAATCCCTATAAGAGCCAATCGCCATATCTTTCTCCTGAGGAATTGCTGGTGGATTTGAACCACTGACCTGTAGGTTAGCAGTGCAATGTTTAACCACAGTGCCACCAAAACTCCTTAAATCACCACATGACCCAGAAAACAGTAGGTGGAGGGCAGCGTCAGGGGCCCATTTGCCCCATGTTTTACTTTAGGCTTCTAGAAGGGACCTGGAACTGGCATTTTGTGCAGGCCTTTCAACCCTCAATCCATCCTCGCTTGTCCCAGACTTCAAGATGTACAGGGTCAGCCCCGTTGCATGACACTCAGCTTGGATTCGAGCCTAGGCTGGTGGCCCCAGAGCCCATCCCAGCACCCGCTCTGCACCAGCACCACCTATACAAACACTGTTGTTGAGTGAACAAGAATGGCAAACAAACCCCCTGCGTCCAGTCAATGGTAGCTCACGGTGGCCCCAGGAGAAGTATGTAGAACCGAACAGAACTGTGGCTCTCAGTAGCTGGGCTTTCAGATGTGGATTACTGCGCCCGTCTTCTGAAGCATTTCTGGATGCACTTGAACCTCCCGCCTTTCAGCTAGCAGCTGAGTGTGTTCACTGTTTGCACCACTTTGTGACTCCCAGATGAGGTGCGTTACAGGTGAATCCACTGTGGAGCTACAGGTCTTGATTATGAGCCCAAAGCTTGCTCTGCGAGACATAGTTCAAACTGTAGGGGAGCTCTGGTGGCCTAGTGGCAAGAAGCTACAACTACAATCCCAGAGGTGCGTGGTTCGAATCCACCAGATGCTCTGCCGGGGAAGGAGGGGCAATCTCCTCCTGTACCAGTCAGATCTGATTTGATGGTACACACACACAAAAAATTAAAAAAAAAAAATTAAATCAAACTGTGAAGGGCTCAGAGCAAGGCGCTGGCCAAACTAAGACCACTTGTTGCAACTGTTAATAACATCGGAGAGAGGGTTAGGGAGTCCAAGCAAACAAATGAAAAACTAAGCAAGCAAACAAAACCCACCCAATCTCATTTGGGGACCATATTTCAAATACACAGAATAGGAATCTGTTCATGAAAGATGAATGACAACAGTGAAAAAAAAACAGTTTACAGGCGCATTGGCACAACACACGGGTTCTGGTGATGGACTGGAAGGACACTGGAATTTTATGGCAAACACTGAGATAAGTCTGTTTTCTCTGCTGTGATCTCATCTCTACTTGCGGTAACAATTCTAGCAGATGCCCCTCCATGGAGTCTTTATCTGAAAAGATATTTACGTTGTGTTCCATAGTTTTTCGTTCTGCCCCCCTCAGTTCTTATTTTATTGTAGCGACAACTTGTCTGTTCATTGCTGGAGAGTCTCCCAGCCCACAGGGATGCTAGATGACAGGTGGAGCTGTCTCACTGGGGTTGGTCCCAAGGCTGTGAATCTGGACATAGTGGAGTGCCATGACTTTTCTTCCCGGTTAGCTGCCAAACGCTTAATCTACCACACCACCAGGCTTTACAATTATACTATTGAAGTAGGATCCCACTATGGATAGATGTAGAAAATGGTCTCATCAGGTTCCAAGACTGTCCTCTTTATGGAAGCAGACCCCTGACCTTCGAGTTCTCAGCCACGTGGTTTTACACGGGGCAAATCTGCTGTGAAGGCTTCTTTAAAGTGTTAGAAGGCAAAGCCATCAGTCTGAGATCTCTTTTAAATCACCTCCTCTGCATGTGGAAGCTGGAATCGATGGCTTTGAATCATGAGCTTGGTGAACAGTGGACACATCAAAGACTGCCAGAAAGCAAAGACGGTCTTGGAGGAAATGCAGCCAGAATGACCGTTAAAAGCAGAGATGGTGAGGTGATGTCTCTAAACTTTGTATGTTATCAGGAGAGTTCAGTTCCTGGAGAAAGATATCATGCTAGGTACAGGGTCAGCCAAAGCAAAGGGGAAGACCCTCTGTAAGATGAGCAGTGGCTACAGCTATGGACATAGACATATGCTGCTTTTGAGGTTGGTGCAGGACCGGACAGTTTGCTCTGTTGTATACAAGGTCATTGGGAGGTGGAATACACTCAAGTCTAACAGAAACAATTTACAAATGACTTCAAATATGTTATCTGATTCACCACTGGGGAAGCAAGGAGGGCAGACCTTTCTCTCTCACACACGTTCCCCTTGTCAAGGCTAAAGAGTTTGGATCTTCTGATGAGTCTCGTAGGATTTTGAACCCCTTGTTCGGAAGGCTCACGTGGTCAGGTGTGGAGGAACCTTTCTTCCGCTGGGCAGTACCAGCAGTGAGCTGACTCTCAGATATTGTCCAGTAAGGTTCTAAGCATCTCACAGACTTTTCTGCTTTGTTTTTCTCTTACCATGGGGAGAACTGGATGAGTTGTGGAGACTGGCCTTACAAAAGATGATGTTTAAAGTTAACTCCCTAAACACTGGAGTGGAAAGCAGGACTGACAAATGAAAAGAGAGATGAAATAATAATTTCTACTCTCATTTCATTGTCTAGATTGGTCATGTCTCTTTGTACAGCTCTGCATGTCACTGTCCCATGGAGAATCTGTAACCATATAACAGAGCCTGCTGACATGAATTGGGCTGCCTTACAAAGCAGAAATCTTAGGGGACAATACAGGATATGGTTTCCTGCAGCCTCTCTGCCTACTTGGTGTTCAGAACAGCTTTCTATCATGTGGTTGGGAAGAGAAGAAATAGCTGGATGGTTCTCACGCACAGTGGCCTTGTGCCCTGGAGGGCTTCCAAGGGAAGATCTCGTAGAAGCAGACTGCCTCAGGGGTTTCCCACGGAGCAGCTGGTGGGTTTGAACTGCTTACCTCTTAGCTAGCAGCTGCAGTAAAGGCTTCTCTTCTGAGTGGAGGGGAGCTAAGGACGGAGGAGACAGGCACATTTCCACCCAGAGTCGAGTCTCACCAGCAGGTGGAGCTGTGACAACAGCAATCAAGGGAAAGTGGTCAGTACAGCCTGGGACAGGAGGCTGACCTTCCCTGACTGACCCTCATGTCTCCGATGCCCTCTTCAAAGCTTCTTGTGCAGGGCAGGGGTGGGGGAGTTTTGAGGGCACACCTGGAATTTCACCTGCCGTGCCTGTCACCTCTGCTAGTGATGGGGGGGCCCTTGATTATCACCATTACAGGAAAAGACTGCCCATGAGTAACTCCAGGACCCCAAAGGGGCTGAAAATGCTCAGAAGTTTCCAGGGAGGACTCCCTCCACCTACCCACCCTACAAACGTGGACGCCACAGGACAGCCGGGAAACTGTCCATCAGCTCGCTCGCTGGGTGTCCCAAAGGCAAAGCCTCCCCTGACCTGGGCCAGTGGTTCCCCAGTAAAACCAAAGTCATCACTACTCATCGTCCCCTATTCACCCCAAACCCAGAGGGGTGGAGATGCCCGCCAGTAGCAGCTGGCACTGAGACAAACGCATGGGGGTCTGGTACTTGTAAAGTTTATATTTATTGTAACAAAAATTAGGACCTGTTCATCTGTGCATTCTGCTCCACTAGAACCCTTGGGACTGAATGAGCTAGTGGCACCCTAGCTGGTCATGCTGATTGTGGCAGCGGCAAAGAACACAGGAAAGGATCTCAAGGTCAGTGGGCAGGGCCATGGGGTGGGCGGGGCACGAGAGATGGGTGGGCATGGAAATGGGTGGGGCACGAGAATGGGCAGGGCATGGGTGGTGCAACAGGAGTGGGCGGGGCACGAGTGGTGCACAGAGGGGCGGGGCAGGAGGCAGGGCGGTTTGGAGGGTCAGGGTTGCAGGTTCGAGTCTGGGGGACTACAAAGAGCAATGCCCCGGCTCCTCAGCCTCTTTGTGTCAGAACTAAAGGCAGGTTAAGAGTCGGGAGGCCAGAGGGGGAGGATGGAAGACGGGGAAAGTCAGTTACTCAGACTGTGTCCTTATGCCAAGACTACAAAACGTTTTTTTAAAGCATCACTATACAACACTGAGCTATTTACAATAGAAATTTCTCAATCAACTGTTCTCTCAGAGAAAATTAGTGAATCCCAGTGACTTAAGTCACCTGACAGAGTAAAGCAACTCCTCGGAGTTAGTCTCCATATTCTACAAATGTCTGTCATTTTCAAGACAAAAAAAAAAAAAAGCCTTTCCCCCCAAAGAAATACAGAACTACTGGTATTACTAAATCGTTCAGATGGCAACCTGTCCTGTCTGCTCCAAAACAAAACAAAACAAAAAGCCACTTTTAAAAAATATTACAATATCATTAACTGTTTCTCTGTAATATATTAAAACCTTTTTGTTCTTTGTCTTTACACATCTGATATGTTAGGGGAAGAAGTTAACAAAAGGAAATCATATTGGTAAAACATCACTAGAAGAAAAAAGTGATAATTATATATATATATATAAAACAAAACAGAAAAATAAAAACCAAGAGAAGAATCTACAGTTAGCTGCGCGAACAGGCTGGGAGGAGAGGAAGACCCCTGGTTGAAGGTGAGCCCGGAGACTCTGTGTCTTTTCGGTTAGTTTATTTAAATAGTGCTCGGGTCGGGTCGGGCCTGGCCAGGCCGGCGCGAGGGTCAGAGCGGCGTGTCGTAGAAGTCCGGCAGGGGGTCCAGCGGGTACTGTCGCGGGGGTGGTGGCTGCAGCTGGGGGGGCTGCTGCTGCTGCTTCATGAGCTCTTTGACCTCCTCCTCCAGCTCGGGCGGGATGATGAACTGGTCATCGGGGTCCGGCTGGGCCGGCGCGGCAAAGTAGCCCCCTGCCTTCCGGAGGGGCGCGTCAGCAGCCACCTCGATCACGTTGTGGCTGCGCTCCTGGGGGGCCACCGAGCCATTGCCCCTCCTGCGGCCCATGGTGCCCACGGCCGAGAAATCCGGCTTCCTGGGCAGACCCGACTCGTCCTCGTTGGCGCTGATGACGATGCCCTCGTCGCTGGCCTCTGTGGGCGCAGGCGCTGGGCCCTGCAGCGCCTCCTTGTCCTTGGCCCGGCCGCAGTGGACGTCCGCGGCCACCTCCACGCGGCTGCCGTTGCTGAATACACCCTCGATGGGCTCCTTGTCGTCGCTGTCCAGCCCGTTGTCCGAGAAGGCGCTGGAGAAGGTGGTGCTGGACAGCTGGCGCTGGAAGGCGCTGGCCAGGCCGGCCGGGTGCAGCGCGCAGCGGGGCTCGCTCGGGTAGGCTGGGCTGCTGTCGGCCAGCGCGCCGGCGGGGGGCTCGTCCGAGGCCGTGGAGCCCACCTCACTGCTCATCTCGGAAGTGGAGATCTCGCTGCTGATCTCCGAGGCCAGGCCGCTGCTGGACGAGGGCACGCCGAGCGCGTCGGCCGGCCGGTCCTTGATGACCACGCTGACCGAGGCAGGGAAGCCGGGGCTGGGCGGGGGCGGCCCGGGGGCGCCCAGGTCGCAGCAGCAGAAGGTGTCCTCGCTGACGCTGAGCTGGACCACCACGGCGCTCATGCTCTCGTGGCCGCCGTAGCTCTGGGCCAGCGTGCACAGCTTCTTGGCGGCGGCCAGTGCATCGGGCACCGGCCGCACGGCCTCCACGGCCTCCTCCACTGACAGGCTGTCCCACAGGCCCTTGCTGCCCAGGATGAAGAACTCGTCCTGGGGCGTCAGCGTCACCGACTGCACGTGCGGCCGGGGCACCACGCTGGGGTGGAGGAAGGTGTAGCCCAGGATGCGGGTGGACTCGGTCACCCCGTTCACCTTGCCGTCCTGGAGGGGGAGAAGCCGACAGTTAGCCGTGTCCACAGGATGCACCCCACTGCTCCCCAACCAGGGGACATGGGACAGTGCTGGGGGACCATCAGTCTGCAGCACACACTCGGGCAGCTCCACAGTGCACCCCAACCCCAGGACAGAGGGTGGGCCTTCTCCCTCTGGTGAGCAGTCGGTGGCCCCTGCCACTGGACCTCCTCATTCAGGACCCCAGGAAAGTGCCAGGGCCTCAGACAGTTAATACTACCCATGGGGCAGTGGTCAGTGACCCTGAGCCCCCTGAGAGTACAGAAGCAAGGCCCACAGAGGGCAGGCCTCTCCTCTCTGTAAGCAGTAGTGTCCCTGTCACCAGAAACCCTAGGTGGCAGGGCAGAAAGAGCAGGACAGAAGGAAGTATTTCAGGGACTCCGCTTACGGAATCAGGGTCATTCTTGAAGAACAAGTCCTGTCACAACCCCTACCACAACCCTCATCTGACCACACGGCCAGCCAGGCCTGCCTGCCGCACTGTACCAGGCTGAGCTGTACCCCCCTGAGCAGATGCCAAGCTGGTGAGTCAGAGGAAGGCCAAGCCTGTCTGTCCTACAGCCCAGCATGGACCCAGGGTCTGCGTGCTGAAGATGATGTTTAAGCGGAAGAAGGGAAAGAAAACCAGCATCATGGACAAGGGACCCCGGGGTGAGACCGGCTGGGGAAGAATGCGCGTGTGTCAAGAGGGGCCAATTCTTAGTTTCCTCCACCTTGATTTCCTGGTGGCAGCCAGGAGAAGGGAAGCCTCCTGGCTTTTGGTCAGCTGGGCTCTGGCCATGTTAATCACTAGCCAAAGCCTTGGACCTTTACTACCGTAGGCAGAGAGTGGAGCACACAGGCCACCTGCTCAGCTCTCCCTCCCCATCTGACAAGGCTGCACTTCTCAGGTACACACAGTGTGTTCACAGGCCTCTATTTCCCCACCCCACCCCACCCACATATTTATTACTTTTAAAAACATTTGCCAGTTCAACAATTTCTGCACGTGTGACTCAGTGTGGAATGGCGTATGCTCTTCCTGCGATGCAGACATACCCACCAATCATCCACCACCAGCACCCTAGACTCGATGGCCATTCAGCCAAAGCGGCTCCTTCCTCCTCCTGTGCCTGGTCAACCACTAAGAAACTTCAGCTTACAGGAATAGTTTCTGATTTCATAGGAGCAAGATCAAATGACCTGTGTCCCCCTGCAATGGATTGATTCTGCTCAACCTACTGCCTACAAAGGTTCAGCGATGCTGTGTCAAACATCAAGACTTCCTTTCTCAATACAGCTGAGTCTAAGCCCCTGACGCCTCGGTCCACTTTGTTTATCCTGTTGCTGGATGGATGGGTTGTTTCTACCTTTTGTCGGTTGTGGAAAAATTTCTGCAACGTACCCGTCCCTCTTTTTAGCACCTGTTTTCAGGAAAGACTCTAGCAACTGAAGCTTGGGGGGCAAGTTCAGGGTGAGGTGACCACACAAAGGGGGTCTCATCTCCCCGAGCATTTATTTCCTGTCCACCTGTCACCTTCCATCCTGATTTTGTGTGGTATCTGCTTGGTGTCCTGGGGTGACAGGTTTTAGTTCCAACTCCCCGCCTCTCCCAGCGTTTTACACAGCCCGTCATACTCATGCTAGAAAGTAAAATGAGCAAGACAAGGCTCCAGGCACACTGAAACCCCTGCCCTCTTCTAGGGTAATCTGTGCTTCCCTGAGAGGGAAATGCGGCAAAGCCCTTGCGGTTCTACTCAATGCTTTGGATTTCTCTGAGGTCTCTCTTTTTCTTTCTTTATCTCTCTCTTTCTGTGTGTTTGTGCAGCATGTTTCAAAGTAGGTTAGCAAGAAAACACAAGGGGGTTGTAAATCCAATATTGCCGACAAAAGTGAAGAGACATCACCAAAAACAAGGACATACCTGAATTCTGGAAGGATGTCATGGATTTCAATGCACGAGAAAACTGACTCTTGCATCGACTTTGGCTAAATGGGGCACTGCTCTCTGCACAGCCTCATACTGCCTGCTTCCAGCATGAAGTGCATGTCAACCCTTCATTTTCACCCTCTCTACTCCGAGAATAGGCAACGACATCCTTGTTCCCATAGAACTGCGTGTGGAGCCTGAGTCTCCCCAGATCTTCCCCATGGCCCGAATCAAAGCCCTAGAATCAGTGTTTTATCTGTGGGATCACAGGCTCCCCACAGGCTATCCATGCAGCTGCGATGTCTTCTCTCCCTCACAACTGTCCAGCTGGTGTGAGCAGGGTGGCCCCCGGTCCCATGCTGAGGACATGCCGTCTGTCAGGCACTGAGATGGATAGATGGACGAAGTGTAACTCTAGAGCCCACCAGCAGTTGTAATGGTGACGAGTCTTGTTAAAATGTAATTGAGTGTACAGGTTTCTCAAGGCACCAAGAGCATCATTCTGGGCCTGATGCTGTGCTGTTGGAGGGCCCGAGAGCTGCTGTCCTGTGTATCGTGGGATGCCAAACAGCATCCCTGGCCTCTGAACACTACACCCTCCTCCAGCTGGGACAACAAAAACGTCTCCAGCCATTGCAGCTGCCTCCAGGGCCAGACCGGCCATGGTGGCGACGGCTGCCTTATCACAGGTGTCGGAGGCTGGAGCACAAAACTCAGCTGGCTCCATCCGTCCAAGCAGTGGAGGTCTCTACTCAGCCTTGGAAGGCAGCACTGGGACCTCACTACTCCCATTTGGTGGGTGGGGAAACTGAGGCTGAGAGGTCACCACCTGCACTTGGCAGAACTCGGACTTGATCATCCTAGGCAGTGTGGATCCAGGGGGAGAGCCCTCAGGCCCCAGACCCGAGCCTGTGCAGAGGTGGGGATGCCCACGAGGGCTCAGCCCACCACGGAGAAGTGCACGCAGAGGCCTTCCATAAACACTCATTCGTATCGTGTCCTTCCCCATCTCCTACAAGAAGCTGCTGGACGACACTAAGGGCCTGCTCTCTGGATGGAAATGCCGCCTCACACGCTCTGTCAGGCGTCAGGACCCGTCCCTCCCGCTCACCTCTGTGATGATGGCCTTGTGCTGCTTGACCCTCCTCAGCTCCTCCTCACAGCTCATGGCGTACGACCTGGACAGCAGCAAGGGCTTCCCGTGGCGGCAGAGGACTGTCTGGCACTTGCCCACATTGGCCGAGGTCAAGGTGAACGTTCCTCCGGGGTCCATGGGGTCGTGCTTGATGTGACACAGGACAGCAGCTCCCCCGAGTTTCTGCCCGGCGGTTCCAAGCTTCCTGGGAAGGCAAGCACGTCAGGGTGTTCAATCCACAGTGAGGCTGTGTGGCTGGACGGACTAGGAGATGAGAACCAGAGGAACTCAATCTGCTTCCCTCCAAACGGACATCAGCCCCTCAGAGGGGACGCATGTGGATTCGGAAGTCACCCACCTGCTCAGAGGGCCTGCCACAAAAGGGGTGTCACACACCTCACCCCTGGAGCCACGGGATCTCACTGGGAATAATGGAGCCCCTGGGCCACCAACTTTCCTATCAGCACACCCCAGAAATAGCAGTAAAATACGGCTCTATCCATGCACCTCTAGAGGCCTCTGTTCCGTGAGAAGAACATCAGAATAAAACTCCACTTCCACTGAGTGATTCTGCCTCACAGCAACCTTCCAAGGCTGTAAATCTTAACAGGAGGAGACGGCCATCTTTTCTCCATGAAGCAGCTGATGGATTCAAACTGCCAACCTTTCTGTTATCAACCTGACACACTGCGTACTATACCAACCAGACCCCTTACACAAACAAGGCAGGTGAGAATGGAATGCTATTCTCGCTGATGCACACACTTCTAAGTGACAGATCACACTTCACTTCTAAATGACCGATCACTCTTCTCTCCCAAGACGCTTGCTGCATGCACCTTGATATCTTGGGCCATTCACATTCTTGCCCTACATGGTGAAGCCAGCTGGCCTAGTTCTCTCTGGCAGGATTCACACACAGGATCTTCTAAGGACAATTCAGCTCCTAAGTAGTTATGACTAAGTCTTTTATTATGACCATTAAGGATAGTGAAAGGGAGCTTGGGTGGTAAGGAGCTGAGCTGCCAACCCCAAGGTGCATGGTTCAAATCCACTAACTGCTCCATGAGAGAAATATGGGAACTCTCCCCCTGCGCGATTTACTGCCTCTAAAAACCCACTGGAGGGTCAGCGTCCAGCAACAATAAGGATAGTGAAACGTAGTCTCACGTACTTTGGGCATGTTACGAGGGGTTAATTCTTAGAAAAAGACATCACGCTTGGAAAGGTGGAGGGTCAGTGCACGAGAGGAAGGCTCTAAATGCAATGGGCACAGATAATCTAACAATGCGCTCCAGTGTGTCAGAGATGATGAGGACGGCAGAGAAGAAGGCAAGGTTCAGATCCATTGTTCACGGGTCACTATGAGCCAACAACCAGTCCTCAGAGACTTACTAGAAAACAAGTTCCCCCAGTCACTAGGGAGCAAAGAACTCCCATAGGATTCTCACGCAGGGCCATGGCTCCCAGGCCATCCTCCTGACAGCCGGCTGGGACAGGAACAATGTGGTAAACGGACAAGTCTCAGGTGTGTGGTTCCTGGTGCGTGGCTGCGTGAATCAGGTGGCAACACCAGCAACGGAAACCAGGGCTGCCCTTTCCCACGGCTCAGGAGGTGATGCCAAAGAAAAGCCAGTCCTTGAAGGATCAGAAAGCTTGTCACTCCCCCCTACGAATACTTGACAGGAAGTAAGAGGTAGGCTTGGCCTTTCAGAGCTCACTCTAGCATCTTCCTTACCCAGGCACAGTGGTCTCCTTTGACAGAAACGGGATGGTGTTTGTGAAAAGCACAGCTAGCAGAGCTCCAAGAGTTTGGGGTATAAGTTAACAAATAGGATCTGTTATCACCACCCCTCAGTTTCTACCTGTGGACAAACACCGAGGGCCAGAGAGGAGGGTGCGCTGAGCAGTGAGTACCTCGTGGCCTGCCCCTACCGAGCCCTTACAGAAGGACTATTTCTGACTCAAGGCACAGCAACGCTCAGCTGACATGCCTGCCCTTATTACAAAGCTACTTCCTCTCTGGCAAGTCCTCAAGGAAGAAAAAGGGAGAAGGTGTGTGGTGCCACTGCCTTTTGAGTTCTGGAATATTCTTCCTTATTTTCTGGTGCTCTTGCCTCCACAAGTGTGTGCAGGATAAAATTTCTCTGAAGGAAATTCCTTCACATCCTATATAAAAAGCCAGAACAAGTGATTGTTTGCACGAGGGAGGGTCTCTTCATAACATCCAGCCTCAGAGAGTTAGAAGCCACGTTTCTTGGGGGTAAGTTGCCTGGAAGCTCTGCTACAGGTGTTAGGCTTAACGATACAGCATCCTAGTGACACTGCCAGGTAACGGGGCGGCAGCGGGGGTGAGGCGACAGGGCGCAACACAGGAAAGAGAATTCAACTCCTAATCTAAAATGGGACCATCTCATGACCACAAAGCTACCAAAGGATGTCATAAAGTGAACATGCAGGACATTTCAAAAAGCAGCTCAGACCTCAGAAAGAGCATGGAGCCTCTGGATTTCATCTGACTGAAGGAGGGCTGTGGAGAACATTCTAGCGAAATCTGGAAGCGTAAGAAGATTGTGAGGTCCAGGTGTAAGAGGAAGTACAAGGGTGTCTGGACATCACAGTACAATGAGCTTGCCCCAGTGTCTGACACCACAGTGGGGTGCAGGGCACCACTCATGTCTGGGACACTGACTCGTTTAAAGGCAGTAAGAGGGCTGCAAGGCCCATCTTCTGGCCGAGGGCAGATGCTTGGGGTGCCAGGGAACAAGGCGGGCTTACCTCTGCATGACGATGAACGTGTTGACCATGTACTCCTCCTCGTGCCTGGTCTTCTGCATCTCCTCAGCCAGAATGTCGCTCATGGTGCACTGGAGAAGGTAGGGCACCTCCACGTTACGGTCCCCGTCGAACACCCCGTACAGGGCCTCCCGGTTGTCACAGAAGTTGTTCACCGACAGGGCTGCAACACACAACCTGCAACGCAACAATGCATTTGGGTTAAATCTGCTCATCTTCCCGGCTCCATCCCAGTCAACGCTTCCTCACGCCCCAGTGCTTCAACCCTACGTGAGTTCAAAGACAGTGACTGTGGCCTCTTCTCTTTCTTCATGGCTCCTGAGATTAAAACAGGTAAACTGATTCCAGCTAATTTCTATGAGGGATGGGGGAAGGGAGCAGAAGTGACAAGAAAGGGGTGTTGGGAATTTTGGGGGTGATGGAACAACTTCATGTCTTGACTTTGGTGGTGATTAAATGATTATAGTCTTTTGTTAAAACCTGCAGAACTATGTGCTCAAAAAAAGAGAGAGATATAAAAAAAGATGTATTTATTATATACAACTTTTTATGCAAAGCAACAGAAAAAGAATGTATTGTGTTTGCTTTATCTGCTCAGTGGCTAAGCCTGCATTTTGAACGGGTTCCGTGATGGCTGGTGATTCAGAACCAGAAGAGGTCAGAATTATAAAAATTAGAGTGATCTGTAATGATAACAAGAACAGGACAAAGTAGAGGTTGAGGAGACTCCAAGGGTGTGCAGTGAGCCCTTTCAGGAGATGATGAGTGAGCTGGGATTGCTGTCAGGGCTGTGAAAGCCACACACACACCCATGGCACTGCAGTCAGTGGCCGTCTCTGAGAGGGAAACTGTTGTTTCTGGCTCTGCTAAGAAAGAAAGTGGGTAGGTGATCAACACAATAAATGCCCTTTTAGAGGGAGATGAAAGTTCTAACAGGGTTTCAACCTGTAATTTGCTCTGTTCCGGTTCATCCAACATTTAAAAAAATCTGGGCCTATGATTGTTTTGCTTCCTTAGCCATAACTGAAGTGAGAAGAAATGGTTCGAGGTCCTGGGTTAAGCACCCAGCAGCTAACTAAAAAGTCAGTGGTTTGAGCCAAACCAAAGATGTGGCAATCTGCTTCCATGGGAATTACAGCCTTGGACATCCTACAGGACACGTCCATTCTCCTTCCAGGATGCCTTATTAGTAGGAATCCACCCCACAGCAAGGGGCTTGGTTTTTCAATAGTTTCCAGGCACACCTGTCACATATGTAAACCTATTACTTATTGACGATAAAACAATAATGATCCTAATAATTATCATTAATGATAACAACACTAACACTGAAATAGGGGTGCTCTATTCTGCATACTTCACACATGGAACTCGTGTGATCCTTCCCACAATCCTGTGGAGTAGGCACTGTTTATAACACCTTTCGTAGATGAGAATATGAAGAAGGAAGCTGAGTAACTGTCCAAGGTCAGACAGCAAATAAGTTTGGAGTCCACCCGGATTCAATCAGTCTGGCTTTGATCCCAGTGTCAATGAAGTTTTTGCCTCCATTTATTTAGAAAAATAAGTCGGCTTAAATTAGATGGCACGAAGTAATGACCTTAAATTCAGTGATATTAAATCACCTTATTGCTTGGGAAAGTAGAATTTGATTGAAGAAGGGGAAAATGTACTGACTGAGTGACAGTAATAGTGGCTGGCGGGGCAGACCTGGTGGGGTGACTATGAAAGTGGGCTGGAGCGTGGTGGACCTGGTGGGGTGACTATGATAGTGGTCTGGAGCATGGCAGACCTGGTGGGGACGGCACAGGAGAGGGGCACTACAGCCGGGGTCTGCAAGACCTCCTTCAACAACAAATCAGCTGTCCTTCTGTCCTCTTATAATCCCTTCCTGGTCAGACAATGGTCATGTGTTTCTACAAAAGAAGAGGAGGGGGCCGGGGACAGAAGGAAATGATGTGATTTTAAAACAGCCAGGAGTGGTCATCCCCAGGAGCTCTTCTTTCTGAGTCTCCTGTTTGGTTTTCAGTCACAGGAAGAACCTGCAGTTTCCCAGCACCACTCTGCAGCTGGGTTTCCCCCAGGAGTCTGAGGCGGCCTGGAAGGAGGGGCAGCCTGGAAGGAAGGGCGGCAGGAAGAAGGCAGAGAGTAGCCATCCACTGAGCCAAGGAGCCAGGGGTCACGGAGTTCTTCCTGCTTCTCAAGAAGGCAGGTAACAAGCAAGTAGTTTACATGATGGCCTCATCCGCTGATCAGAAACAGAACACTGGGGGAACTTCTGCCAGCAAAATCAAAGGGTAAAAAGAATCCACCTCCAAAACAAACACACGGCCAGGCCAGGGAGTGGCCTCCAATAGCTTTCTTGATGTAGGGGGTAGTTTCCAGGTGGCCCTGGTGGGACAATGTGCTATTGTTCCTGTGCTTACATTACACAGTACAGGTAATCTCTGACTGATGACCAGGTTCCTGGGTTCAAGGACTCTGCCATAAGCCATTTCTGGCCCATGTGGAGGAATATCTGGCTCTTGTTTTAGTTTTCATTATTATTGCCTTTTCTTATCAGTATCTTTATAAATCTGATCTTTATTTTGGCGTTTGGAATCAGAATGAAGCATCAACAAATTGTATGGGTCGTAGGTGATCCCCTCCTGGGCTTATGAGGGTGGAAATCACATGGGAAGATACTGCTCACTTTCCTAGATTTTTTCCCCTGGAGTTGTTGATGGATTTGAACCAGCAGAGGTATGGCCTTTGGCTGAGCAGTGCAACTCCTTATGGCCGACATTGTCAGAGCTGCCCTACACAATGTTGTTGTGGACCGTCAGGTCAGAACTCACCCAGAGGTGACCCTTCAGTGGGATTTTGGAGGCAGTTTAATTGCCTGGGAGGCGACGGCCCATCTTTTTCCCTTGGGGAGCAGCTGGTGGATTTGAACCATGTGCCTTTAGGATGGCCACACAGCTCTTTACCACTTGTCTACCAGAGCCCCCGCCCTACGCTGTAGGTGTTGGTGGTGAGGTGCCATCAAGTTGGAGTCATGTGCCTTTGGGACTGCAGCACAGCTTCTTGCCCCTGGGCCACCAGCGCCCCCTGTAGGTAGATTATTATTAATGATGATTTGTGGAAAACAACAAAATCGATCGTTCTAAGAGGTCCACTGCAATCTGCATATGTCCTATGTTGGAGCCACCTGTATGACAAAAGTTAAAATACACAAGAGGAGACCCGCAGGGTACAGGGGGTAAAGTGAATGGTGGTGAAACAACATGGGTAGCAACGCTGAGGATGGTGCCATGGCACGGAGAATGGACCTCGAGTGCTGATCTGTGGGCGCAGGAACCACTGGATCGGTGCATGTTTGCTGTCTGTTGTGAACCGCAGCGTCGGAACCGACCCATAGCTGACCCTCTGGCTGGTTTTCAGAGGCAGTTAATCACATGGGAGGAGACTGCCCATCTTTCTCCCATGGAGCAGCTGGTGGCCTCAAACCACATGCTTTTGGGATTGCAGCACAGCTTCTTGCCACTAGGCCACCAGAGCTTTGCATATTTTCACCAAATAACCCCAAACCCTCCTGCCTGTAGGGAGAGGCACTGCTAAGCCCAAGGCTCTGCCGGTATGGTGGTCTGAAGCCACGAGCAGCTCCACAGGACAAAGCTGGGCCACCTCCTCCATGTGACTTACAGCCTGGGAGACCCAGCGCAAGAGGGAGCTGCGTTGGTTCCGCCTCCACGGCAATGAGCTTGAGCTTGTCACCCGCTTCATTAATATACATGAGTAAGTAATAAATTTTAATGCCTTTAGAAGTTTAAAAGCCTATCTTGGGTTCACATCAATGATCTGGAACTAGAAGGCAGTTTCACATAAGGGTGTTTGCAAGGCAGACGTAAGGCCTTTAATCTGAAAGGTGATTGATCTTCAGAAAGCCACGGAGCGCCTGAAAGCACGAATCCTCCCTGTTCCCGATATGAGGTGTGGATCAGGAACAACATGCCTGGAGCCCGGGAGGACGGCATCAAGGCTCCTCTGAGCAGCCTGCCTTTGCCAAACTCCCAGTGCAGCCCAGAGGACAGGGGTGGAGCTGGGGCCCTCCTGTGGACAGCCCCGTGAAAGGGGAGAGGCCCTGGGTCGGCCCCAGGGCTGGAGGGGCCTGCCACAAAGAAAAGCTGTGTCTTTCTCACAAGAGGTCATCGGCGGCCTGGGTTCTCAGTCCCAGACGCACAAGAGAATCACCGTGGAGATTTTCCACCATCTGATCCACGTGGTCTGGGCTCGGACCTTCAACAGAATTCTCCACTTGATTCTATGGTGATCTTCGTAAGGCCTGAATACTAATGCTGACCATCCTAGGGACATTGTCAACTTCCTGCTCCCTGCCTACTCCCAGCGCTCTGTGTTCTTACACCCTGATTAAATGATGAACATTCTTATTTAGAGAACACTACTTTTCCAGGGGTCCCAGGATGGTGCAACGGTTCACATACTCAGCTATCGGTCCAAAGCTAATCGAAAAGCCTGGAGGGTCCATTCTACTCAGAGGTGCCTCAGAAGAAAAGGCTGGTGATTAACTTCTAAAATCTCAGTCACTGGAAACTCCGTGAAGCCCAGTGTGCTCTCGGACACACACAGTGTCCCATGAGTGGGAGTCGAGTTAACAAGCAGACAAGTTTTTACTTTTTCAGAAATCAGCACCTTATCGTATTGAAGGAGGCTCTGGTAGTGCTTTCAACTGATATAAAAGGTTGGTGGTTCGAATCCACCAGCTGCCCCAGGGATAAGGATGAAGCTTCCACAGGGCGCCAGCCGTGGGCACCTGGTGCGGTTCTTCTGTCTGTCAGGACGGGCCACCGTGAACCCTGAGCTGAACTAGACCTCATGGGGTGGCTGGTCTCCTTCATAACGACGTCATTGGGGAGGTGCATCACACACAGGCCACCAGGACTCCAGCCGGCACAATGACATCAACAGTTTCACGAAACATGAGCCCAAGAGTGAAGAGCTAGACCACAGCCCTCAGGAGAAGCATATTTATAGCTGAGTTTGAGGGCTCAGGGGGGTGGCTCTGGCAGGGGGCGGGGGTACAGACTGGATGGCAGTGAGTGTTTGGGGTGACGAAGGGAGGGACGGACGGTGAGAACAAGGACGTAAAGGGAGGGAAGGCGGGCTGGATGCGGTGGTCAGACATGAGCTGATGTGGAGCGCGTGGACATCAACCTGCTGCCCGCTCACTGCGGTGAGAAGGGGCTTTCTGAACGGCCAGCTGGCCAGGCCCCGAGTGGAGCAGGGACAGTCAGGGCCACGTCTCCTTTCATCCTGTCCCTGTGTGCTCATAAACAGGCCTCAGAGGGAGATAAAGAGGCTTTTCAAAAGAGCAGGGATGCATTTCAATCCTCGGCCTTCCCCCAACACCGGAGTCTCACATAGGTATAAAGTGTCGGCTACACCGTATCCTAGCAACAGCCCTCACAAAGCGCAGCCATCAGGCCACCGGCCTCCTGCTCACCCCAAAGCCACAGAGGCGCCTCTCGGGGTGGCCTCTGACCACTGGGGGAGACCTCAAAGCTACCTGCTCACCCCCAAACCATGGAGGTACCTCCCAGGGCGGCCTCTGACCACTGGGGGAGGCCTTGCACCTGCACGGGGCTCATCTTCACCCCTCTGGGAACACGTGGCGGGCAGGGGACAGCGCATGTATCAGTTGCACCCCACTTACTTGTTTTTCACCCCGGAAGCTTCAGTGTAACCATGGCTCCACACGGCCGGGGCTCCAGAGGCGTCCCCTCCTGAAGGCTGGTCGATCTTGAAACAGCGGATGTTACTGGAGGGACAAGAAGAGGCTCGTTCAGACCAAAGACTGGCAGGGCTGCCCTCACCCGGGGACAGGCCCGCGAGCACCCGGGTGCCAGCCGTTACTGCGCTCCACGCACAGTCTGAAATGTTCACCGGCACAAAGTACCCGCTGCTGCTCAGGACACAACCACGGCGCACAGACGGAGCAGGAAAACCATCACGGACCTTAACTCTGGGCCCACGAGGTGCCCGGTCTGTCGGGAACCGAGAGGACAGAACTCAACCTCGACTTGAGAAGAAAGTCAAGGCTCCAGCTGGGTGTGTTCTTACAACCCAAACCCCCAGATTTGAAAAGAACAAACTCTAAGGCCAGTGACACTATGTGTAGTGAGAGAACTCAGAGACATTCATCCCTAAATCTCGTTCCTGTCCACGCTAAGCCTTCATGTATTTAACAGACTCGAGTAAGGAGCTGTCTTCCCCCGAAGCATCACCTTCTTGTCACACTCACAAGCCATCCACACCACAAATCATACACTAGAGAAAGCCTCAAAAAGAGGAGCATTTCACAAGTTACAGCTGCCATCTGGGCTGTTCAATCAACTCCGACTCAGAGCCCTTACACGACAGAGAACTGTCCCTCAGCATTCCCCAGGCTGCAGTTTCTACGGAAGGAGGTCTGGTGGTACAGAGTCTATAGTGTGCAAACCAAAGGATCAGTCTGTGGTGGTTCAAATCCACCAGCTGCTCTGTGGGAGAAAGACGGGCTTCTTCACAGCCCTGGAAACCCAATGGAGGAACACTAGGAGTTGTAAGAGGCTTACTGGGACCAAAAGGCTAATTTTTAAAGACATTTGTATTTTTATGGGTAGATAAGGATACATACGTATCACAGAACCTCCGAATAATTCCATAGGGAGCTCTGGTGGCCTAGTGGTAAAAGGCTGTGTGGCAATCCAAAGGTACGCGGTTTGAATCCCCAAGCGTCTCTGTGAGAGAACGATAGGGAATCTCCTTCCGTGTGATTTACTGCCTCTGAAAACCTGCTGGAGGGTCAGCTATGGGACTGTTCTGACTCTATGGTACACAACAACAAGGCTGACCAATAAGGGAGACATCCGTGGAATGTAATAAAGAAAAGTACAATAACAAAAGCAAACAAAATCCCTCACAATCCTTCCTAGTGAAGCATCAGTGTTTCAGTCCTGGGCTAGTGGGAGACAGCCATCGGGAGTGAGTCGAAGGTTCCCTTTTGTGCATCCTCCAACGAGTCCGACAGTGTCCATGCAAGTGGCAGCTTGGCCTCTTGTTGGAGGTGCCACATACATTTACCCTGGTTCTCTAGAACCAACAGCACAAAGAAGGCCTTAGCTATGCGAATTCTCCCTGTTTATTAAGAACCCGCGAGCCTTGAGAGGCTAAACAGAAGGTGGCATCTGTATGTGAGAGCTCTATGGCTTCACTGTCAGGGGCTGCTTCTCTTCATGTGAGAGTGTGTGTGAGGCTCCCACATCACCGAGGCCATGCCAGGAACACATGCGCATCGTCCAAAAGTTGACAGACCTTTATGCACATGTGATAATGGTACCATTTTGTAGACATTTCCTCCCAAATAAGTTCTACATGCACATACTGTGCAACGTGCTGTGGAAACTAACAGGGGTTGTGAGGTGTGCAGAAAGCTGGACAACGCGTCACTGCGGCCCAAGACTACAGCACGTGGTCATGCCTCTCCCTCCTTATTATGAATAAGCCACTTTATAGTCACTAAGCCTAAGAGATATCTTGACGACAATCCCCTCTGCCTGGAGTGAAGACCATTATTCCTGATTGTTACTCCGCATCATTTTCTTCTGCACTAGAAAACCTTGGATTCAGAAGTTTATAATCATGCTCCAGAGGGCAATTGTTTCAGCATACAATTCCTCCAGTAGCGCCCACTTACGGAAACATGCTGTCACTTAAATGTCTATTTAGTATTTCCTTGGCATACTAAAAAGACTGAATCTCTTACTGACAATGGCATTTCATGTCATTATTTGTACTTTTTTTCGTTAAATGTCACTGTCCCCTTCTCTACTGTTTGAGCATGTGCTACTTTTCTTATTGATTTACAAGAATATTTTCTACTAATCATTAGTACTTGCGGTTCCACATATTTTGGCTAATATTTCTTCCTAGTTTGCCTCTGGATTTACTCACGGTAGTTTTTGGAATGGACACTTAAGTCTTTTATGTATAAAAGTACATGATATAGGAAACAATTGAAAACGTCATGGCTTGGATCAGGCTTGGTTAGGGACCTCTCCCACATACGGAGGAGTAATGATGTCAGTCTGAGAACTAAGATGCATCTGATTCAGGCCAAGATCTTTCTGATCACTTGCTGTGCGTCTGAGAGCTGAACAATGAATAAGGACAGCAGAAGAACAACTGATGCCTTTGAGCTGTGTTGTTGGAGAGAAGCACTGAACATCCCATGGATGGCCAAAAGAACAAACAGGTATGTCCTGGAGAGGGTGCAGCCAGAGTGCTCTTTGGAGGCAAAGATGATGAGGCTTCACCTCACATACTTTGGGCATGTTGCTAGGAGGGGCTATTCCTTGGAGATGGACATGATGCTGGGAAGAGTGAAGGGTCGGCGAAGGATAAGACCCTCGACTAGGCAGACTGACATGGTGACTAGATAGACTGATACGGTGACTGCTGCAGTGGGCTCTTGTGTGTCAGGAAGTGTGAGGATGACACGGAACAGGACAGGGTTCAGAGCTGTTGCTCTTAGGATCGCTATGAATTGTGCTCTACTCGATGGCACCTACCAACAACATTATATAAACATGATGTTGTTGTTGTTAAGTGCCGTCGAGTCGCAGGCGACTCATAGCGACCCTACGAAGGAGAGTCCTGGACGCTTGGGTGCCTTTCATCCTCTCTCCAGGTTCATAGGGTTTCCGGAGGCAAGCTATTACAGAAGTGGATGCCACTCCTCCTTCCAAGCTATTACAGAAACATATATAACAAATATTAAAAGCAATGCCAGCATATTGGTTTCTTTTCTTGATTTCCAACCCCTGTTCTTTTTTTGTTGCTAAAGTGGCTTTTCCTAGTTTGTGAATATATTCCTAAGATTTATGGATTTAAAAAAATTCTTTTCTACATCTAACTCTTTAATCCATCTGAATTTATTTTGTGTGATGTAGGAAAGAAGTGTAAATTTTTTCAAATAGCCATTAGGAGGGGCCTGTCCCTGCAGAACACTGTGCTTGGTAAAGTGCAGGGTTGGAGAAAAAGAGGAAAAACTTCACCGAGACGGGCTGACATAGATGCCACAACTATCTGTGAAAGGATGACCTGTGTTTTCATAACACAAATACTTTTAGCCCTGAAAGATGCGTTAGAAGGTACACGTATCCAGGTCTCCTTCTCTTTCTAAAGATGAGATAATAGGCGAGCTCTGGTGGCCTAGTGGCAAGACGCTGCACTGCAATCCCAGAGGTGTGTGGTTCAAATCCACTAGATGCTTTGCTGGAAAAGGAGGAACAATTTCCTCCTGTCCCAGCCAAATCTGATTTGACGGTACACACACACACACACACACACACACGTAATAAAAAAATTTTTTTTTAAAAAAAGATGAGATAACAGAGATTTGAAGCGATGGAGGCGTGCTGGCTAAAGTTTCACATACTGGAATGAATGATAGAGAAAATGCACGTCTCCTATGCCTTACCCAGAATGGAGTTCTCTGCCTTCCACTGAGACAGCATTCTTTGACTTTGTGTTAAAATCTGTCTTCTCATTAAGTAGTTATATCTCAACACAGAGACTACTCCTACCTAGCCTGGTGTCAGGCTTTGAAGAAGACTCACCCACCACCTGTGCTATGCAGATGACATAGCCTTGTTTGCAGAAAATAAAGATAACTTGACGCAATGGAGAAGATCAAAGACTACAGCCTTCAGTGGAGATTGCAGAAAACGAAACTCATCCCTGGGCTAACAGGCAACATCATGATAGATGGAGAAAAGACTGAAGTTGTCAATGATTTCATTTATTTGGATCCACAATCAACACCCATGGTAGCAGGAGGCAAGAACTCAAAAGATGTATTGCATTGAGGAAATGCGATGAATAGGACCTATCCAAAGTTCTACAGAGCAAAGGTGTCCGTTTAAAGACTAAGGTGACCCTCATCCACGCCATGAGATTTTCAGTTGTTTCCTATGTATCTGAAAGTTGGACAATGAATAAGCGTATAAATTGTGCTGATGGAGAAAAGTACTGAATGGGTGACAAAAGAACAAGCAAGTGTGTCTTCGAGGAGGTGCAACCAGAGTACTTAGGAGCAAAGATGAAGACACTTGACCTCCCTTACCCTGGGGACTTATTTTTCAGAAGAATCAGGTAGTCCTTGGAAAGAGATGTCATGCTGGCAATGGTAGAGGGTCAAGAAAAGAGAGAAAAACTCTCACCCAGACAAACGGTGTATCAAACAGTGGCTGTATCCCAGGCTTGAGCACATCGGAGACTGGGCAGGACAGGACAAGGCTCAGACCTGCTGTTCATCTGGTTGCTAGGAATTGTAATCAACACAGTGGCACCACACAACAACAACAACAATAAAGCATGTCCTGTAATCTCCATCAGCGCTTTTCAACCTTGGATTTACACTAATGTCCGGTGTACTATTAATCGTTTGCCAGTATCCAACTCTTATCTGTGGTGATTTCTAAGAAAATAGCAAATTATTTTCAGCCACACATCTGCCCACTATAGAGAAGCATATGTGGCACACATATGCAATGACTAAAGTGTGACGGTGTCCAAAATAGTCAGCTTTGCCATGCAACCGTCCCGCAAAACACTGGAAAAATCCAGCAAAACTGCAGGAAGAAAGGAAAGACCACCCAGAATTGTGGTACTCAAAGAATATTGTGTCAGCATTTTGTTATCGATCCCTTCAGCCATTTTCTAGGGGTACACATACACTCACATGCACTCCAGTGTACATAAACAAATCATTTTGCAAAAGTGGGATTATACTATGCAAATGTCTTTGGAAGCTTTCTTTTCACTTGACATTATACTGTAGGGATCTTCAGAATCAGTCAGTACAGTTCTCCACTAGCATTTTAATCACTGTGTAATGACACTTCATTAAGGAGCATCTTTCCATTGACAGACCGAGTACATGATAAACATTCTTCTAAGGAACAAGGACACCTTTACTCTTTTAAAGATCAAACTTCAACCATAATAGCAGGCACAAGACTGAAAAACCAAAACTCAAATACGTGAAGTGCAAAAGGAACTCTGACAGGATCTAACTACGTGACACCTCCAGTTTTGTTGACATAACCTGGATTTTAGCTCCATGATAACTTGCCCCACATTTTGCCATAGTGTTCACGCTCCCTTCCTCCTCACCCTCTCCTCCTGCCCACCTCCCTGTGTTGATTCTTATCCTCACTCTTTTCTGTCTGGGCACTTTTTCCAAAACTTCCCAGAAGGACATGGAAGTTACTTGACAATTACGAGATATCATTTTTGCTCTCCATGTTCGTGCGATACAGATGTGTGGTGAACACAGCCAATACAACTGACCCAGGCACAAGGTGGCTGCTTCGTACTTTCTGCTCCATGTTTCTCCGGAGCTACTGATTTCACGTGCAGTGAGCGGGCAGGCCCCAGCCCTTTGCACAGCACCACTTACTTGAGCAGTTCCAGGGTCTTGTGATCAAGGACGAGCCTGGGGTTTCCCGTCAGGTCCAGCTCTTGCAGCTTTGGGGGCAGGTTTTCTGGAAGGGTGACTTCACAGAGCGCGTTACAGCTCAGGTCCACACACTGCAGGACAAGGGGACACAAAGAAGAGACAGTCTGCAGAAGCTGCTCAGGCCTGTCCACACCCCTGATCTGGGGTCCAACCATTCAGCACACACTAGTGCTCTGATCCAGGAGACAAAGTCTGACCACCCAGCACTCTGTACTGCCCCCATCCAGGAGGTGGCCTGACCAGACAGCACTCTGTACTGCCCCCATCCAGGAGACAAAGTCTGACCATCCAGCACTCTGTACTGCCCCCATCCAGGAG